GGGGGGGATGGGGTGACAGCCCTGGGAGAGGGAAGGATGGAGGGCAGATGAGGAGGAGCACTCCGCAAGGCAAGGAGGGAGCCTGCAGCAGGACTTGCTCCTCTGCACCATACACAGGAGCAGAGTGGGTGGTCAGGTGGGAGTCCCTGCATTGTGCTTGGCTCCTCGGGACCCTGTGCTGCCCACAGGACCCGTGCCACCTGGAGGGTGGACACAGGCTCTGGCCGAGCTGTCAGCCCCAGCCCTTCTCTATCCACAGGGAGCTTGCTGGATTTCCTGAAGAGCGATGAGGGGAAAATGCAGCCGCTCCTGAAGCTGATCGACTTCTCTGCCCAGGTGAGGAGGGAACAGACCTTCCCCAGTTCCTTGCTCCCCCTTGCCCCTGGGAAGGGTGAGCGGTGGGGATCAAGGAGCCCAAGAACTCACCTGGGACTTGGGCAGTGCCTTGTTTGAACGGACAAATGGTGGGGATGAGGAGAGGAGCTGGCGAGGTTTCCCTGCCCTCACAGCCTGTGGGCAGCTGCCTGCTCAGCCCACAGGTCTGGCTGCCCACACAGCAGCAGGTGTATGTGAAAGGAGAAGTGGTGGCTTCCTCCTCACTAGCCTCCTAACTGCAGCACAGTCCCCCGCCGGAGCTGCACGGAGCCCGTGGTGGGGGTTTTGTCTGGGCTGCTCCTTCAAGGAACCATGAAATCTGTGTCTTCAAAGGCCACTGTGGTTTCTGCAGCCGTGGTGCCTTTGTGTTTTGTGGAAGTGGTGGGAGGGTGAGGGTTGGTGCTTGCTTTCACTGCTCACATTCGCACGGTCCTTTCTCTGGGACGTGGTGGGGCTGGTCAGCGTGGCCCGTCTGAGCCCATGGTTCCCCAGGGAGCAACCACGGCAAAGCTATTGATTTCTATCTATTGCTGCTGATGTGATGGTTACCTGCAAACACCACGCTCTGTGCAACACATCCTCATCTGCAAACTTTGCAAAATCCCCACAAAACCCTGCACAGCCACGTGCCCAACCCGTGTCACCCCAGCCACCAGCCGTGGTGCTCCAGGGCAGCATCTTACACCCACCTGGGCTGTATCCCTGGGCAGGACCCACCTCCAGCTGTGGCAGGGTTAAGCTTCGTGGGCTTAATATTAAATGCACGGCAGGACTGTTTTGCTGCTTTCATGATGCCTGGGAGGTTGAGCTGAACAAGGTTTTTAGAAGGGAGCGTAGCGTGTTGTGTTACCCCACAGGAATGCCCACGGGAGGTTTGCGGTTCATTAAAATCATCTACCTGCCAAAGGGCTGTCACGGACTGTGGGAAGGCAGCTGGAGAGGCAGGAGGACTCAGTGAAAATCGTTTGGGGGATATTTCCAAGGAGCTGATTTTGGGGACAGCTGAACGTGCTGTTACACGTCTAGCTTCGTGCGTGCAGTCATTTCTGCAGCCACTCTCTGGTCCCTGCTGCTTCTGCAGTGTCCCCAGGTGCTGGCCAAATCCAGGGACCCTTTGAGCCAAGCGTGGTATTTCTATGAAATCATTCATGGAGGTACCTGTGCAAGAGGAAAGCCGGGATGGGAGCCTGGAGACCCCAGGGGTTTAGACCAGGTCCCTGGCTCCTGGAGGTGGCTGCGGCAGGGTCTGCTCCTCAGCTGTGTGCTCCTGCTCACCATCTGCTCCCAGCAAGCTGCCTCCTGCAAACCTTTTATAGAATCATAGACCGGTTTGTCTCCGTAGCTCAGAGGGGCTGCTTTCCACAGGGCTGAGTAGCGAAGGCTGAAGCACTTTCATGTGCAGGCAGCAGGCAGACAGGCAGCTCACAAGCCTGGCTTGTGCTGGGGCTGAGTCACCATGAGCAAAACCCTGCGTGTGGTGGTGGAAATAACCCTTCCGCTCTTGCAGCACTTCTGTACTTCTGTATTTTGTGTGGAGCTCTGTGAGCAACTGTACTTTACCCGGCTTTTCTGGGTTTGAGGGGGATGGAGCAGGGAGCGTCCCCTCTGGCTGCTCTGGCCCCTTCCCCTCCTGGCTGCTGGGAGCATCCAGGCATGGGATAATTTAGCACAAATTTGGGGTTTGGTTTGGGATACCCCAAATCCCAAATTGGGGGTATCTCTGCATTGATCAGGGCTGATAGCTGCACACACAGCCACAGCCGCTGAGCACAGAGACTTCACAAGACGGAGCTGAGGGAGATCTTCAGGGGTTGTCACAGCCCTGGGGCAGGACTGGCTCTTCACAAACTATTCTTGAAGACCCCGGGCATCTCCTCACCCTCCTTGAGAGACAGTGCTTTTCCCTCCTCACCAGGGAAGCTCTGCAATGCTGGCCAACCCTCGCTGCAGCAATCAAAGCCCATTCATTGTCACCTTAGTAGAGAGAGAACAGTTTACTCCCTGCTTCCCTCAAGTTGTTGAGGTATTTGGAGACTGGCCTCATGTCTTCTCTGAACAGAGAATGATTTAGCCCTCCCACATCTGCATGGCTATGGATGAAGCAGTTGTACCTCGCCCTGTGGACATCCACAGGCTCTGGGTCGTGAACACGCCAGCTCCTCAGATGGCGGCTCTCGCTGCTTTTCTCACACGTGGGCTTAAATGGGTTGTGTTGGGCTGGTGACCCAAACCCTCACCTCTTCTGCAAGGGATTTCCTGCACGGAGAGTGGTTCCCACGCAGGACAGTCGGTCACATCTTCTGCTGTGACTCAGCCTCCTTTCACCCCCTTTCCAAGCGCTGACCAGAAGGAGTTACCCTCTCTCCCTTCCCGGTAGCAGTTGTGTTGGGGAGGTTGTGTTATTTCAAACAGCCTCTTTGCATTTTTCTCTTTCCCCTTTTTTTACAGATTGCAGAAGGGATGGCTTTTATTGAGAAGAGGAACTACATCCACAGAGACCTGAGAGCTGCCAATATTCTGGTGTCAGCAATACTGGTGTGCAAGATCGCGGACTTTGGGCTGGCCAGAGTCATTGAAGATGACGAGTACACGGCCCGGGAAGGTGTGGGAGCTGTGGTGGGGCATCTGAGATGGTGAAGGGCTGTGGGGTTCCCTCAGAGCCACTTGTCAATGTGTAACCTTGGTGGCAAGGACCCCGGGAGGGACGTGCTGTGTAAGCGAGCAGATGAGGGAAGCTCCTCTCATTTGCATTGCTTCACATCTTCCTCTTCTGTTTGTTTGTTTCTTGTTCCCCGTATTTCACCACCAGTTTCTCAGTATTTGGGTTAGAGCCCGTGTTTCCCCTTGGATCTCTTTATCCAGGTGCCAAGTTTCCCATTAAATGGACAGCACCAGAAGCCATCAACTATGGATCTTTCACTATAAAATCAGACATCTGGTCCTTTGGGATCCTCCTGACCGAGATCGTCACCTACGGGCGCATCCCATACCCAGGTAAGGAGGTGAAATGAACCTCTGATCTGGTTCCAAAAGACATGCTCTGCCTTCTGGGCTCCATCCGTGGCATCTGTTTCTTCACAAAGTTAGATCGCTGAAAATAGAAGGAATGGTGCAAAATCTGACTCTCACACTGGGAGCAGAGCTCAAAGATGGTAACACAAGGTCTCAAGGTGGTAATTCTGACTGTGAGCCATGGAGAGGAGCCCAGAGCACAAGACAGTCACTGAGCAGTCTGCAGCACTCATTTAGCTACATCTGTTTGGACAAGAGCTCACCCAGGACGGACAATTAGGAAGGTTTTTCTCTCTGGGAGTCCTCAGTGGACACCAGCTGTTTTCACTGATCTGAAATCCATCCTGATGTGACATGGGCCACCTCTTCTCAGTTTCCACAAAGGAGAGCTGGGACATCTCCTCTGGGGAGCCCACAAAATCAGTCCGGGCAGTAAATGGCTTTGGGGTGCTCATTGCCTTGGGGAGAAGGGCAGCTACTTTATGTACTGCCTTGGGGCTAATACTACCAGGAGGTCCTGAGCTCCTCCAGCTCCATGGGAAACCAACAGTAGTCTGTATCTCTAAAAGATCTGGTCTCTCTGTTTCTGAAATAGAAGATGTTTTTAATATGAGAGGATAATTGACTTGCCCCAGGCTGTGCTGCCTGTCCCTGGGAGAATGGGTATCACACACCACAGGTTCCTGGGTTTGTGTCACAGATTAAACGTGTTTAGAAGCAGCACATCAGTTCAGGGCTGATAGCTGGGCCAGGTATTTCTATGATATAAATCATCATATAGGAACCACCCTTTCTTTTATACTAATTGTTTCTTTTGTACTTTTTTTTTTTTTCCATGGGAAATTATTCTCTACAAGAAAAGTAAATGTTGCTACAAAATGGCCATGAAGGATGTGGGGTGGCATAAAGGGTTTCTGGGGAAAGACCAATTCTGTCATCACACTAACTTACTTTTATCAGTGACGCTGGAAAGAATGGCTCATTAAAGACTTGGCAGGTGGAGAAGTGTAGCCTTTATTTTGTGGAAATTTATACAAAACAATTACAACCCCATCTGCTCAAATGGGGTACAAAAATGTATGAAACAACTAACTCAGCACCTCAGTTTTTCCCGTTTTCCTGACCGGGAGTAGGAGTTTCCCCCTTCCCAACCCCTCTAACCTGTCCTTTATCTTCCTAGTGAAATTGCCCAAAGGGTGAATAGTTTTGGGATTGGGTGGTTTTTTGCCTTTTAGAGAAATCAGTGATAAGCCACGAAACGTTCACTTGCCCTGTTTCTCCAGGGATGTCAAGCGCGGAGGTGATCAGGGCCCTGGAGCACGGCTACCGAATGCCCCGCACAGAGAACTGCCCCGAGGAGCTCTATGACATTATGATGAGATGCTGGAAGATCAAACCTGAGGATCGTCCCACCTTTGAGTACCTGCAGAGCATTTTGGAAGATTTCTTTACTGCAACAGAGAGCCAGTATCAGCAGCAGCTGTAAGGCAAGCAGCTTGGTGAAGACAGTGGACACCCCACACTATGCCTGCCGTGTTTGTGGCAGCCAGCACACGCACCCTGCTCTTCCCTGTCCCACTCGTGATCTGCCTCCACACGCCTTCCTCTGCCAGCCTGGCCTGGGACCCACAGCCTTCCTGGTGTGGCTGGGCTGAAAGCAGGGGTAAGAGGAAGCCACGCTCAGGACAGCTCTCTGGGGCTGCTGGACAGAGGGAAAAGTGACATGGAACCATACCTTGTGCCTTTCACACCTTGTGCCTTGTGCCTGTGAGGCAGCTGCTCCAAGAAGCACTGGCTGGACAGTGGTTGCCTGCGCCGGCAGCACCATGCAAGGAGGGCTGGGGCTGGGCCTGTTTCAGCTACAAAGAAAAGAAACCCAGACTATTATTATTATTTTTAACTCCTGAGATCTTATTGTGTTGTTTTGCAGAAGTAGGTGCTTCAGCTGCAATGGCTTCAGCAAAATGCTATTTTACAGTCTAGGCTGTGCAGTGCCCACACCTCCCGGTTCCTGTGTGTCGGGGAAATCCCAGTGGATTCTCACAGGAGCATCCTGTGATGCAGCACATCGGCTTGTCCTCAACGCAAGAGCCTGGGTTTTAAATGCCAAGTGTCAGAGAAACATGTCATGGAATCACGGAACTGTTGGAGTTGGAAGGGACCTCTAAAGATCATCCAGTCCAACTCCCCTGCACGTGTTTAGAAGCAGCACATCAGTTCAGGGCTGATAGCTGGGCCAGGTATTTCTATGATATAAATCATCATATTTTAATATGAGAGGATAATTGACTTGCCCCGGGCTGTGCTGCATGTCCCTGGGAGAATGGGTATCACACACCGCAGGTTCCTGGGTTTGTGTCACAGCACTTCCCTGTGGGCTTCTGCGTCCCACAGATTAAACATGTTTGGAAGTAGCACATCAGTTCAGGGCTGATAGCTGGGCCAGGTATTTCTAGGAAGGCTCCAACAATCCATAAATCATCATAATTAGGAACCACCCTTTCTTTTATACTAATTGTTTCTTTTGTACTTTTTTTTTTTTTCCATGGGAAATTATTCTCTACAAGAAAAGTAAATGTTGCTACAAAATGGCCATGAAGGATGTGGGATGGGAAATTATTCTCTACAAGAAAAGTAAATGTTGCTACAAAATGACCATGAAGGATGTGGCATAAAGGGTTTCTGGGGAAAGACCAATTCTGTCATCACACTAACTTACTTTTATCAGTGACGCTGGAAAGAATGGCTCATTAAAGACTTGGCAGGTGGAGAAGTGTAGCCTTTATTTTGTGGAAATTTATACAAAACAATTACAACCCCATCTGCTCAAATGGGGTACAAAAATGTATGAAACAACTAACTCAGCACCTCAGTTTTTCCCGTTTTCCTGACCGGGAGTAGGAGTTTCCCCCTTCCCAACCCCTCTAACCTGTCCTTTATCTTCCTAGTGAAATTGCCCAAAGGGGGAATAGTTTTGGGATTGGGTGGTTTTTTGCCTTTTAGAGAAATCAGTGATAAGCCACGAAACGTTCACTTGCCCTGTTTCTCCAGGGATGTCAAGCGCGGAGGTGATCAGGGCCCTGGAGCACGGCTACCGAATGCCCCGCACAGAGAACTGCCCCGAGGAGCTCTATGACATTATGATGAGATGCTGGAAGATCAAACCTGAGGATCGTCCCACCTTTGAGTACCTGCAGAGCATTTTGGAAGATTTCTTTACTGCAACAGAGAGCCAGTATCAGCAGCAGCTGTAAGGCAAGCAGCTTGGTGAAGACAGTGGACACCCCACACTATGCCTGCCGTGTTTGTGGCAGCCAGCACACGCACCCTGCTCTTCCCTGTCCCACTCGTGATCTGCCTCCACACGCCTTCCTCTGCCAGCCTGGCCTGGGACCCACAGCCTTCCTGGTGTGGCTGGGCTGAAAGCAGGGGTAAGAGGAAGCCACGCTCAGGACAGCTCTCTGGGGCTGCTGGACAGAGGGAAAAGTGACATGGAACCATACCTTGTGCCTTTCACACCTTGTGCCTTGTGCCTGTGAGGCAGCTGCTCCAAGAAGCACTGGCTGGACAGTGGTTGCCTGCGCCGGCAGCACCATGCAAGGAGGGCTGGGGCTGGGCCTGTTTCAGCTACAAAGAAAAGAAACCCAGACTATTATTATTATTTTTAACTCCTGAGATCTTATTGTGTTGTTTTGCAGAAGTAGGTGCTTCAGCTGCAATGGCTTCAGCAAAATGCTATTTTACAGTCTAGGCTGTGCAGTGCCCACACCTCCCGGTTCCTGTGTGTCGGGGAAATCCCAGTGGATTCTCACAGGAGCATCCTGTGATGCAGCACATCGGCTTGTCCTCAATGCAAGAGCCTGGGTTTTAAATGCCAAGTGTCAGAGAAACATGTCATGGAATCACGGAACTGTTGGAGTTGGAAGGGACCTCTACAGATCATCCAGTCCAACTCCCCTGCCAAAGCAGGGTTGCCCAGAGCACGTCACTCAGGAGCATCCAGGCGGGGCTTGAAGATCTCCAGAGAAGGGGACTCCAGCCCCTCCCTGGGCAGCCTGTTCCAGGGCTCTGCCACCCTCACCGGAAAGAAGTTCTTCCTCATTTAAGTGGAACTTCCCATGTTCCAGCTTGTGTCTGGTGCCCCTTGTCCTGTCACTGAGAACCACTGAAAAGAGTCCGGCTCCATCCCCCCTCTACCCACCCTTTACTTATAAGCATTAATAAGGTCTCCCCTCAGCCTTCTCCAGGCTAAAGAGTCCCAGTTCTCTCAGTCTTTCCTCGTAAGGGAGATACTCCAATCCTTCAATCATCTTTGTTGTCCTATGCTGGACTCTCTTCAGTAGTTCCCTGTCTCTCTTGAACTGGGGAGCCCAGAACTGGACGCAGTATTCTGGCTGTGACCTCACCAGTGCAGAGTAGAGGGGAAGAATGACCTCCATGTCGCCCTCCTGGATTTCCTTCTATAGTATTATTGGTGGTACCTCTCTCTGCTGAGTGTCAGTTTTGGTGAGGCTGTGCCAGCGTGTGCCACAGGGTACGGACAGACACGGATGGTGCTTTCCAAGGCACGTCCTGGATGGATCCTCCCTGGGAGGAACTTCTCCAGCTGGCCCTGGCCCAAGGAGCCCTCTCCCTCTGCGGCAAAACCCCCTGCTCCGCACACAGGCGTGAGTTCACGTCTACTGGGGCACGGACAGCGTTGGAATGAGCCAAGCGTTCCTTGCGTGCTCATTTTATTTTTAGTATTTAATAATGAGTTATTTGGGGAAAAGGAGGAAGTAGTATTTTTATTTTTTTTTTTAAGATCGCCCTATACATCTTACAGCAGGGACCTTCTGGGCTTGAGATTCTATTTCCTCACGCAAAGAGGAGGAAATAGAATCCCCTTTATGCTTTTGTATCAGCTTTGGAAGCTTCTTTTTTTAATCGATAAAGTATTTATAAACCTCTCGTCTTTGGGCCTTTCCTCACGGAGGGGGATGCAGATGGGGTGGGGGGGGACACGGATGGGGTAGTGGTCCGCAGCACCCCTCGGGGTGGGCCCGTGTACCGGGCTGCTCGTACCGGAGGGCCCGGGCCGGGGCCGTTCCGGGCCTCCCTTCCCCAGCGCCCGCACCGAACGTGGCGCCGTGGGCCTCAGCGTGAAGGCCGCTGCCCTCAGCAAAGATGGCGGCGCGGTCTGCCCCTTCCCCGGCCGGCTCCGCGAGGGGACGGACACCCGCTGGTGACGGGCCCGGCGGCCCCTTGGCCCGCTCCGCCCGGCAGTGGGGCGGGACTG